CTACGGAAAAATTAAAATATAAAAACGAAAACTATATATAAAATGTAATCAACTCACACTATAGAAGGAAAATGCAAAATTAACAGATATTCTCCCCCCCCCCCCTCCATCTCTTCTTTTTTCCCATCCCCACATCCTCTCTTCCCGCCATTTTTATTGCCCCTCTCCTCTCCTCCAACCTTAAACAGACAGACATTTGTATTTATTTATACAGATGGAGTACCTGGCTGCACCCGGGCCTCTTCCTCACATTCCAACTGACCCTGTCAGCCCCCATTCCCTTCGTCTTCCCCCCTCTCCTCCTCCTCACAATTTATTATTAAACACTGAAATTATACAGGTCTTTCAGATTTCTTATATCTTTTTTTCCTTTTTCTTTTCTTTGTCCCTCCCACTTCTATCACCCCACTCCACCTTCTCTCGGGCAATGTAGTACAGTATTAAGAAGCATTGAAACAATTGTATGGGTTTCACAGAAAATATATCACTATCAAACCTCGACCGCGACCAGGCCGCGGGGACATCGAGCCCTGAAATCCTCGCAAGGTATCACTAAAAACTCCACAGGAATTACACCACATTTTTCACTCGACTTTACAAAAATCACCTGGGGGTCTATAATTGCTAATATTTCCTAACTCAACTTTTAATTTGGTTCTGATCCAAACCAGCCTACATCTGTTCCGTACCCAAGACCATTCCCCCCTACACATTTGAGTGACTAATAGTATAGATAGATATAATATATAGTGTAGATAAACAGTGACGTATTTGATATTGTTTGCACCTTCTTGAGTTTGCACTTTCTCCAAAGGGTCTGAAAAAAACTTGGTATAGAATACTCCTAGCATCAGTCACTGTCTTGTATATTTACACAATGTAAACATGTCAGTACAATTATCAACACAAGAGTTCAAGGCAGCAACACCAATTTATTCATACAACTGCATTTTTATGATCTAAATTGTTTTTCAGGGGAGGATAGTTGAAAAGGTGACAACCTGAATCCAAAACATTTTGGTTGGTGGCCGTTCAAACAACTATTATGGCCCTAACTCACTCTTACAAAGAGCAGTCAATGCCTATATATAACACCAGTAGTACTGTATACTACTGGTGATAAAGTACTAATGCCAGATACCTCAAGGAAAAAATATAGGAAGTAAACATTTTATAACTAATTTATGCACAAGTCTAGGTGACAAAACATTGTTTTTATGGTCAGAAGAAACCAGCTATGCAGCAGGATGAAGCCATCAGCAATTCTATTGCAACAAGCTAAATGACCTCTGGGAGAACCAATCCCAGAAGTCTGTTCAATATTAAACAGGAGCTCAAAAGAGCAACAATCCTAGAACAAGAAAAAATGTAAGGTAAGAAATGTTAAATCACCTAATTCTAGACCAGAAAAAAAACTGACAAACATCACTCATAATAATTTATAATTTATTGTGTCAGGGGGCAGGTAGCCAGAGTGTATTTACATGTTAGGCTTTTATAGAGATCCCCTCCCAAAGTCAAATTATTAACTCGCTCCCCCCTCCCCCCCCCACCAGATGAAACCCAAAAAAAAAGCTAACTCCTGGGTACCTACTTACTGCTAAGCAAACAGGCACATTAGATGATAGGAAATGTGTCCAACCATTTCCAATCTGCCCAGAATTCTCAATTGTGAATCAAGAACAAACCCGACTGTACTGCACAGATCTAAATTGCAGGATAGAGCCCTAAAGCGCTCTTGAGAGTTGTGCTATTTTTGTTTAACTAGGCTATTTTTAATGTTTTTAAATGTTTTCATCACTGTTTTGAAATGAAAAATGGTTGAATTTGGAAACATTTTGACATTACCTGAACATTTATAAAAACAAAAAATATGTCCTTGACAATTGCACTATGGAGTTTTTGCCAAAACCAGGTGTACAGTGCAGTGGCTAAATGACTAATATGAATGGTGTTTGTCAGGTTCTTTTCTGGTCTATGATTAAGTGGCTTCATTAATAACATTTCTCATTACACTACCTTACATTTTCCTTCTTATTCTTCCAAAATACTCTACTGTTGAGCTACTGTTTAATATTGAAAATTGTATGATCTTGCATATAGGGCATAACAATATGCACCACAACTATCAAATCAACACTACCACCTTGCAACAATTTGAAGGAAAAGGCCTAGAAATCAAAATCCATCAGTTCTGCACAACAAATGGAAACTGCATTAAAAAAAAATGTTAACTAAACTCCAGGAATAGTCAAACGAACCTTTGATTAAGAAAAAGGGAGAGGCTATTCAACTGCACATATCTCTGGAGATCTCATCTTCAGAAGGACATATCTGCTTATTGAAAGAATAATGCAGAACAATAAAAATCATCCCAGAACTAAGTTGACTCATATCAGTAAAGGTTAAGGGCCACAGGTTTAACATTGCAAACTAAATCTGATAGGGGAAATCTCACTGAAACTTAAAATACTTAAATTAGAGGATATTCATTCAGACCACTTCCTTATAAGGTCACATGTAATACATACAAGGGTTAACAGCTTCAAGCTCAACAAGCTACAATGTAGGTCAGAAATCAGGAGAAGCTTTTCTCCATAGATTCCATAGATTTTCCATAGATTCATAAACCCTTGGAACCACATACTAGCCAAAGCCAAAAATACCAAGACATTACTGCAGTTTAAAGTCCAGGTGGAAAAAATTCTCAGGAACTTTTGACAAGCTTTGGGGACCTTTGACAAGCAAACAGCTTCCTGTCCCTATCGTAGCCATTAGGTAGATGGTGGCCTCAGGTAAATATTCACCCTGTGCAAGGATACAGAACATTCAAAGTTACCTGTGAATTGTATCCATTGTTGATTTACTGTCCAGTGGGGCCAACCCCATTCACTCCCACTGCTAGATGTGTATTGCTAGAAGCAGACTTGTGCAGATATTGGTACATTTATCAGTGAATTGGATTTCAACAGAGGAAGACTGTATTTAACCCTCTGTCACCTTTGCTGACATACAAAACAAAAAAAAATTTACAAAATGATAAATTTACAGTATATTAAAAACTATATTTTTGTTTTGTTTTGTGCACATACGTCAGTTGCTTAATTTAGAACCTGTACTTGAGGTCGATCTCGAATCCATTGTTGATGTGATGACTTATATTGAATTTTGTAACTAGCTCATCAATATTGTAACTTGCTTAGCTAAATGAATTGTGGGGTTCAGTCCCTGAGCCCATTATGTGCCTCTGTAACCCTTTCCACTACCGCCCACAAGATGGGTATGGGGTGCATAATAAATGAACTAAACTAACTTTTGTGCACATCAAGATAGTGATATATGTGGGGGTCATTGGGTCCATTGATTCATAATGTAATTACCTAGCTCAGCAAGGTGGGAGTGAGGACTGATGTTCAAATTACAATAGATGGCTTATTTGTTCACAGTTTTGCTTTAGCTTACACAATGTGTGGAATTATTAACACGTACGATAATTAACAATCAGAGAGTACCATATACAGGCCTGCTATGTACTACGTACACCTATGTTGCATGTGAATACCTTCGTGGCACAGACCAAAGAAGTGTCTTGCAACCTTCGCTGCTATTCTGTCTGGTCATGCAGATCAAAAATAGATCAAATACTGGCGAGAAATGCCAAGTTATGACCTGATGATAACCACAACATATTAGAACTTAACTATCCTAAAGTAAGCAATTGCGATAACTTATTTCATGTGTTTAGTTTAACTATTACAGTAGCTGCATTATATCCACATTTACATAATTTGTATAAAAACTGATGATAGTAATTAAAATGATGCCAACAACACCCTGGGAGATCAACATATGACAATAACCGCACTTTACGGCTCAACTGGGCTCTTGCAGCAAACCTAGTCACTGCCAAAATTTACCCCTTACTTGATATGGAAGTCCTGCACAGAAACTTTATGACCTTCTTGGACTCCAATTTCACAGCACTTTAGTGGCAACAGCTAAACTAGAACTGTGTTAGTAAGGTGCTCAAATAACTGTGTAGTCAACACTATGTATCTACTTATCCAAGACACATCAGTACACCAAGAATCTATTCTCTCATTCTTTCTCGTATTATATGGAAAAGTCGACTCGAAACAGCTTTTCAAGTAGTTAGTACATGAGCCTGCTTAAAGTGCAGGCTGATTTTATATTCAAATAATTGATGTATCTAATATAATTTCTAGTATTTACAGAGTAAAACATTTGCAGAAAACGTCATAAGAGACAAGTTACTCAAGTTACACAGCCAGTGAAACATCCTATTATGACTCTTCTACCTTGGCAACCATTACTGAATCCTGGTCTAACTTAAAATCTTCAGTTTTCTATTATGAGCCAGACTTATGGAGTGAGTTAATACCCGCTCCACCAGTTACCCAGATGGACTCCTTATGGAGACCCACAAGTTACCAAGCTGCTCCACTACACACAAGCACACATCACCAACACACACTAGTACCAACCACAATGTGATCACATCCAATATAAAACTAAGAGTATCATTGTGCAAGCTGGCCATCAGTTGACAAGTGTAGAGCAGGCAGTGAAGACCTTGACAGTGACTCTCCACACTACCTCCTATTATTACCACCACCTCACTCCTCCAGATATTGATTTACACGCCTCCACTACTTCCTACACGTTACCTAACCCTCCTTCAGTATATCACTGCAGGAAAACAATTGTTCTTTAGACACAAAACCCTCACATGACGAGATCATTTATTTGAAAGTTCCGGGCTCACCAGGAAGAAGGGCACATTTTAGAACAGCTAATTTGACACTGCCACTCACAATAACGTTGCAGTGAGAGAGAGTGCAGCTTCCACATGCATTCAATACATCTCTAATAATGCCCAGCTGGTTATTACCCTCCCGCGATGCCCGTATTAATATGAAAAACGGTTGAGACGGAGGGCAGAGTGTGTGGGCCGCGCCGACACCTCCACCGCCACTCACCATTTGGGTCTGGGATCAGCAGTGTTGTGATATTCTGCTGGTTTTGTGTCATCCTGGCCTGCTCGATAATTCCCGCTAGTCTGGCACGTCTTCAACAGTTTAAATAATGCTTGCAATTTGGCGTAATCTAGGCACAGAAAAACAACAACAAATCGTCCACCGACATCAGATTCCTAAAATGGCGAGTTCATCACTCCCTTTTCGGACAGTTCATCTGCCTCGTATGGTCTACATTTTGATATAGTATTGATTTGACACGATTTCGCATACATTCAGTTATGACCAACTATTGTCAAATTACTCAGATAACGAGATACGAGCCAAAAAATGTGAGCATTCTCGCAGACTCTTCCTGTGGAGAGTAGCTATATGATCTTGGCGGTGGGCACAAAGCTCGCCCGCTGATTGGTCAATACATGTCACGTGGTACACACCGGAACGAAACGACAGGTTCACACATGAAAACATGAATTTTCTCCTAGAAAAACGATCAAACCAACCCCGATATTAACAAGGAAGCAAAAATAGGGTTCATAGATCTCGTACTAAGAGAGGAAACATTAAGAGTGCTGCATAAATGTATTTTTAGGCCAATTCCACTAATCCCGCCAGTAGTGAGTTGTCCAGCGGGCCAGGAACGGTCCATCTGGCCAGCCAATCAGCGAACATTCCTTGTGCCTCCGCTGGTGGCGGGAAAAGTCATTTCGTAGCAGACGTTGTACTCTGCATGCAATTTTCTTATTTTCTTCTATTGAATGGATAAATGGAATAGAAGAAGAAGAATAAATTTTGACACACTATCGACTGCTAAAGGCATTAATCTTAAATTGTTAAATTTTTTAATTACTTTAAATATTTACCAATTTGTATAAAAATGTGATATTTCTAAATATCACATTCATTACATTATACTATTTTTTATTGTAAGGTTAATTATTAAATCGATTTGTAATTCCTATTTCAGATATTGTTAATGCATTTGCTTTGTATTGTTTCATATAGTATGTTGTGAACTGAGTCTAATAAAGCTGAATAGAATTATTCAAACGCATTAATGCAACAAGTGACAATTGCGTAGACAAACAAAACTAAGATCGAGGAAACCCAACCAGAACAAAGTGACATCCTTCAAAAGCTGGATAAACAAATAAATCTCCTCCTGACGCACCAGACGGCCTCTGAAGATGACTTGCCCGAAACGCTGTGTGTATCAGTGGCTTTAGGCATTGTATGTACTCGCTCTATCTATAAATCCAACATTATGTTTGTAACTCCTCTTCTATGTATGTACTTTTACCTGAATAAACATTTGATTTGAACTTAAAGCAACAACAACTACCCAACTCTCTAAGCATTAGCTCTGCTGATCTACCAGAAGAACTACAAGGTGACTACTGCTGTAATGTAGCCCGTGACCTAATTAATTCAAAGATCAAAGTCAACGTTGATATATAATCAGCTGTCACGACAGATAAAAACAGTCCCCGTAGCACTAGGCGAATGCTCATTAAACTCGCAAATCCCGCTGTGAAGTATGAGCTCATCCCATCAATAAAACAACCTTTATGTCAGTGAGTGCCGTACCAAGCAGCGTGGATTCCTCCTCTTTAGGCTGCATCAAATTAGCAAACAAAACCAAAGTCTTATCAAGCAATGCTACACTAGGAATGGAACGATCATTGCAAAGGACAGAGCAGGAAAAAGATATGAAATAAAGTGTGACCAACACTTGATGTTTGAATCTTGATGGCACTTGACACTTAAAAATAAAAATAAAATGTTTATTCAGGTAAGGTACATACATACAAGAGATTTTACATAATTTGATCGATTTATAGATGGAGCTAGTACATACTATTACGTAAGGCCACTATTACGCAAAGCGTTTCGGGCAGGAAAAACATTAATGACTAAAACTTAATACTAATTGAGTACTTGTGTTTGAATCTCCCACAACCAAATCGCAAGTGTGTGATTTGGTTGTGGGAGATTCCCAGGAGAGGTATTTAGACAAAACGTTTTGTGCCAGAGATAGGGGAAACAGGGTTAAGGGTTTGCCATCCGGGAGCTGGAATTGGTGATATTGTTGGGAATATGAATGATATAATGGCAGGAAATGGGAACAAATCCATTATTTGTATTAGTGCAGGTGGAAATGATGTTGGACGAGTTAGGAGTGAGGAACTGATACAGAGGTTTAAGACAGCCATATAATTAGTTAAGAGCAAGGGAGGAATCCCGATCATATGTGGCATCCTTCCAAGAAAGGGAGTGGGAAATGAATGGTTGTCGAGGGCACTTGGTGTCAATTGCCGGAGGGAAAGCTATTGCAAATCAAATGCAATATCTTTCATAGACAACTGGGAACACTTCTATGGAAGAAATGAAATTAATATTAACAAATAATAATAATAATTAAATTAATAATCCATTAATAAAAAACATGACCTTGAAAAGAAGTATAGATTAAGAATCGTCTCCAAAGAATTTTCAAAGAATTACTCGTCATTGCTATCTAAAATAATTAGAAGAGCCAAAACTAAATACTACGAACATAAATTTACCCAAACAAAGGGCATCATTAAGAAAACATGGAGCACAGTTTCACAAATATTGGAATCAAAGAAGATTTTAAATAACAAACCAATACTCCTGTCCAATAACGATAAATGTGACCATGGCGTTATTGCACATAAAATGCGTTCAAAAGGAATTACCGGAAAAATAGGCAGATGGATCTACAATTTCCTGACCAACAGAACCCAAAGCGTAATAGTCAACAAAATAAAATCCAGCCCATCAACCGTGAAGAGCTCAGTCCCCCAGGGTACTGTGCTTGCTCCAGTACTTTTTCTCATCCTCATATCGGACATAGACCAGAACACAATCTATAGCACTGCATCATCCTTTGCAGATGACACTAGGATCTTCATGAGAGTAGGCAACATAGAGGACACGGCAAACCTCCAGTCAGATGTAGATCAGGTCTTGCTATGGGCTACAGAAAATAATATGGTGTTTAACGAAGATAAGTTCCAGCTCATGCGCTATGGAAAAATGAAAATATAAAAACGGAAACCACGTACAAAACTCAGGCAAATCATAACATAGAACGAAAAGGCAATGTAAAGGATCTGGGTGTACTCATGTCGGAAGACCTTACCTTTAAAGAACACAATAAAGTAGCCGTCACAACTGCAAGAAAAATGACAGGTTGGATAACAAGAACTTTTCACACTAGAGATGCTATACCGATGATGATACTTTTCAAAACGCTTGTGCTCTCTAGAGTGGAATACTGCTGCACAATGAGAGCCCCTTTCAAAGCTGGAGAAATTACTGACCTGGAGAGCGTGCAGAGATCCTTTACTGCTAGAATCCACTCAGTAAAACATCTAAACTATTGGGACCGACTAGAGAGCCTAAATCTGTACTCCCTTGAGCGCAGGCGGGAGAGATACATAATAATTTACACGTGGAAAATATTAGAGGGGCTGGTCCCAAACCTGCACACAGAAATAACATCACATGAAACCAGAAGACATGGCAGGATGTGCAGAATACCCCCGTTGAAAAGCGGTGCAACAGGTACTCTGAGAGAGAACTCTATCAACATCAGAGGCCCGAGACTGTTCAACACGCTTCCGCTACACATAAGGGGCATAACTGGCAATCCCCTCACAGTGTTCAAGAGAGAACTGGATAAGCACCTCCAAAGGATACCTGATCAACCAGGCTGTGACTCATACGTCAGGCTGCGAGCAGCCGCGTCCAACAGCCTGGTTGATCAGTCCAGCAACCAGGAGGCCTGGTCGACGACCGGGCCGCGGGGACGCTAAGCCCCGGAAGCAGCTCAAGGTAACCTCAAGGTAACCCCTATAATGTCAACCCATGTCTGTTATTTTTAAACAATGCTGTCCGTCGACTAAATTGTATTTTTGCTGTTTTTCTGCCAAGTTCCCCTTTTTTATTTTTTTATTTTTCTCAACACATTTTATACTTTAATCTCAATTAGTATTAAGTTTTAGTCTTTAGTGTTGCGTAATAGTGGCTTTAGGCATTGTATGTACTAGCTCTATCTTTAAATTCATCAATATTTGTATCACCCCTTGTATGTATGTACTTTACCTGAATAAACAATTGAATTTGAATTTTGAATCTGAAATGTATACTCGGCATGGGGTGCATCTATCGAGGGCTGGGGTTGTTGTTGCAAACTCGTTGGAACCAGTATAGTGGGTGATACAGTAGGGATTAGATACACTATAAGTATGGTTATAGATACTCTGTAATAGGGTATAGATACCCTATGATGTGATATAGATTCCCTATGGTAAGGTATAGATACATGTAATCTATATCCTACTATAGATGCACTATAGTAGGATATAGATTCCCTATAGTATTATATAGATTCCCAATAGTAGGATGTAGATACCCTATAGTTGAATATAGATACCCCATAGAAGGTTATAGATACCATATGGAAGGATATAGATACACTATCGTAGGGAACAGAAACACTATAGTAGGGAATAGATACCCTATAGGAGGGTAGAGATACCCTATAGGAGGGTAGAGATACTCTATGATAGGGTATAGTTACCCTATAGTAGGGTATAGATACCCCATAGTAGGGTACATATACCCAAAAGTTGAGTATAGATATCTTACAGTAGGGTATAGATACCCTATAGTAGAGTAAACATAAACTATAGAGGTATGGATGCCCTATAGTAGGGTATAGATGCGCTATAGTAGGGTGTAGATACCCAGTAGTAGGGTAGAGATACACTATAGTAGTGTATAGTTACCCTATATCAGGGTAAAGATACCCTATAATAGGGATATAGATACCTTATAGTAAAGTATAGATACGCTATAGTAGGAAATAGATACCCTATAGTAGGGTATAGATATGCTATAGTAGGGTAGAGTAAGTAAGTAATTATCAAAAGAAGGCACCAAACCGGGAAGGCTATGTAGCACCATTATAGTAGGGTAGAGATACCCTATAATAGGGGATAGATACCCATTCTATAAGATATCTATACCCTATTATTCCACTATAGGTGGGTATAGATGCACTATAGTAGAGTATAGATACCCCAAAGTAGGGTATAGATTCACTATAGTAGGGTATAGATACGCTGTAGTAGGGTATAGATACTCAATGGTACGGTATAGATACCCAATAGTAGGGGAATTCATACCCTATAGTAGGGTGTAGATACTCGAAAGTAGGGTATAAGAACATAAGAACATAAGGACAAGGTAACTGCAGAAGGCCTATTGGCCCATACGAGGCAGCTCCTATCTATAACCACCCAATCCCACTCATATACATGTCCAACCCGCGCTTGAAACAATAGAGGGACCCCACCTCCACCACGTTACGCGGTAATAG